GAATTATTAGCTACACTATCAAGTCATTGTGGTTATGATAACTCTCCTATCGAGATCCTTGATATTTCTATACTCTCTCCTCATTTGGACTTAGTTATGTTATTATGATTTGGTGAGGAAAGAGAGTGATTTAGCACGACGGGTCCTACCGTGCTATGATAATGATATGAATAAGCACGATGGGTGTTGCCGTGCCAATAATTGATTAAATGATGTGAGAGAACAGGAGGATAAAAGCACGATGGGTGTTGCCGTGCAGATATTGATTCATGACATGAGTGTATGGGAGGAAGCACGCTGGGTGGTGCCGTGCATTTCATTTCATATCATTTGTGTATTTATTCGTTCGTTCATCTATACAGTTATTTACTTTATTGTTCCATTAATCATTTGCTCATTTATTTAATCTCTGTTGAGTTGGTTGAAAGAAAAGGAATAATTTTAAGCTGCTTATGGAGTTCATTTTATCTTCTCTAGTTTTGTCATGTTATCCTTTGACTGCTAATTCGTAGACACTCTTCCGGACAGCATGTCCCTTCCCCGTAGAGTATGCCTGTTAGCCTATTGTTCCTGTTTGCATATATGTATATTCTGTAAAGGTTTTCACGCTGTAGGTCCTGTTTAGCCTCGTCACTACCTCGTGAGCCAGGGTTAGGCCAGGCACTTACCAGCACATGGGGTCGGATTGTGCTGATACTACACTTGCTGTACTCTTTTGTGCACAGATCCGGGAGCAGCCTTCGGAGCGCCGCAGCAGCCATAGTCGGGGAGCTAGCCCTCAGTACGGAGACCTCAGGTAGCTTGCTGGCGTCCGCGAGTCCTGGATCTCCTCTATTTTATTTATGTTGGTTCCATTGTCTTCGGAACAGACTATTGTATAATTTTTTTTCTTCAGGCCTTTGTTTGTAGTAACTCTTAGTAGTTCGTGATAGCTGTGACATTCCTTTCCTGGGTAGAGGATCTTTAATACTGTATTTTCGAAGTTTTGTTTTTGTAAAATATGCTAAGTCTTCCGCATCGTTAAGTTATAAATATAATCATTTGAGGTTCTTATTGAAATAGCTGTTGATTCTTTATTACATTGCTACAGGAATCGTTTGAATTAACTGTTTTTCGTGTGATTTAGTGGCTTGCCTAGCTCCCACAGTAGGCGCCATCACGACCCCGACGGTGGAAAATTCGGGTCGTGACAAATGACAGCCCTTGTGAATGGGTTTCATTGATAACCATCGAGGGGTAATACTATAAGAAATTTAGCTTGACTTTCCACTTCAAAGAACCTATTCTTCATGAAAAAGTCATATATCTTTTATAACCAATCAGTCATGAGAAATAAACATTTAGAGTTGCAGACCAGCTAGGCAGGGCCCAAACAATTCAATGGTTATAAATGTCTTCTTTCTGAAGGTTTTGGTCAGAAAGGATAGGAAAAAAGGAGGAACTATTTCTTAGTTCTCGTATTAGTATGCTTTGGTGATGTAAAACAACACGAGCAGCTGCCTGATGCGATACAGACTCCACCACACCAATTTGTTTTCACTAACCAAGCACCATAATACATCACATGCCAGCTCTGGATCACGCACAGGGAAGTTCAATAAACAAAACAGCATGATAAAGCTTACAAAGGCCAGGACATAAGATATGCAAAATCTTAGAGGTAACTAACTTTATCAAACAGAAACTATAGCAATTGTATAATAGAGGCAACTAACATTATCATTCATTGGTTTGATGCAAATTTGAATGTACTACCTTGAAGTAAGGTCCTGGGAATAATAATCCCAGGTGCTCTGTGGTAAGAATTTGAATAACTTTCTATAAATTCTGACCTGCTTTGCAAATGTTAGTTTGAAGAAAGAGAGCAGACACTATATCTTTGTTTACCCTGTCACATTCTAATTTGTTGTTCCTGTTCTTACCGTGCTAAAATATAACTCAGTAGTGTTCCACAATTATGTTATCCACAAGCCACTAAATGTACAGTGGAACGAATGACTGCAATGGTTGATCAACTATTGTTCACCTAACTAAAGTATTACAACTTTTACTGCAAAAATAACTGACAGCACATGGCACTAAAAATGTTCAGCCTTTACTTTTATTCCCAGTAACGACTTGCCCAAGTCTTATCAGATACTTATTTTATTGACATGATTTTTACTTCATATGTTGTCTAAGTTATAGTAGCTTTCAACCTTCATATGAGACGAAAGGTTCACGTCCCTGATGTTAATTTCACAACATTGTCCTTAGTACAGAAGCACAAAGCAAGATTCGTGTGTGGTACGAATCAAGAAAAATAACTTACCTCGCCACATTGATGTGATGGTTGATAAATTCCCTTAAGAGGAATATCAGTTTCATTTGAGAAAATGGAGGAACACAACGTACCAGAATATGGACATAGTAAAAAGAGTTCTCGGATAAAGTTTAATCAAAAAATGCATAGAAAGAATGTCTTTGACACAGTCGATGATCCACTACAACATTATGCATATACAGCTACGAAGTACGTCGTAGCTAAATACAAATATTTCCGTGGCTAAACACTTTAGCTACGATAATTTTTTTCGTAGCATCCGTAGCTAGAAGTAGCGTAACTAAAAGTTAGCTACAAACTTTAACATTTTGTGGCTAAGGATCAATACTTATCGCTACGCGAATTTTTGTGACATAGCTATATTAATAAAATATTTTGCCACGAAGAATATATATTTGTAGCTAATAATTTTATTTTTTTTGCCATGATAAATCGATTTTATAGCTATCTTCTACTTTAGCCACAAAGGGACATACCATGGCAAAAGATGTTATTTATTTAGCCACAAAATTCAAATATGTAGCTGTGCTCACATATTAAATCTGTGCTATAGTATTAGCTGTCAATCCATAATTTCATAGCTATAAATCGTCAAAATATTCTGATTAGATTTTTTAAATTATGTTTTATTTGGTGACTAATTTTTTATTATATTTTATTTTTATTTATAAAAAATAATTTATTAGTGATAATAAATTTCTCTGTCTTAGGCGTTGCTATTTTTCTTTCTTTACCTCAGTAAATACTTGTAAAAGATTTCAAATAGTTCATATCCGTACATCTTGATCAAACCATAGAAATACATAGTAATAAATTTTGAATATCACTTTATTATACAAATTGTCATCTAAATAGTTTCAAAAATTAATTCTAAAATATACAATCGATCATTTAACAATAATCTATAAAATTCTGAAGGGTTCTACATCAAAACAAAACTAAGTTCTAAGTATTTGGTCTGGGGACTAAATGTTGCCACCAGATGATCTTCTGTAGCCAAGGACAAAGTAATTTCATTCTGAATCCTCGATTTCTTGCATTCAATAGATTAAAATGCACCCTGTAAATTTAAAAGAAACAATAATTAGCACAAAAGAAACACATACTAAGATGCAAGTTTGACTTGTAAAAATAATCAAAGAACATTCAAAGAGAGAAAAATTATGTGTAGATAATTCTTTTAAAAAATTTTTTACCATATAACAAGAGGGAAAAATTCAAAATAACAAGACAAGTAAACAAACATGTATGCTTTTTCAAAAAAAATTTGAAAGAATTTTCAACTCAGTTTTATGTGTCTTTTGGACGAACTGCGGCTCCTTCCAACATTACATTATAATCTTCAAGGTTCACTCATTAACTATCACAATACGATACAATATCTATCAAATTGTTAGAATATAACTCCAAAAATTCAACTCAAGTAGATGTATGAAAAATGAAAATTGAGAAATCCTAAGATGTAGATTTATAAACATACCTTAATAGGGAAAAGGCATCGGGTTATATAGCTAGTGATTCGATTGATTTGCTCCTTTCACGTGAAGACAGAACGCGTCGTAAAAGAAGGAAAAGGGAAAAGGGAGCAAGGGTGTTGGCGGCTGGAAAGGAACGCACACTTTTAGATTGAAGTTTTATTAGGTTTTGGGGAGTTATTGGTTTGGCCCAATTGGCCTTTCTATTTATTTTCTTTTTGTTAATATATATTTTCTTCCTTTTATTTCTTAAAAAATCTATATATTATTAAAAGGAGGCGAAATGGCGTGTAGTAGCCACTAATTAAAGGTGTCTTTAATTTTTATCCACTAATTATAATGCTCAGCGAAAATAGCCACTACTAATAGAGAAAAGATAATTTTACCCTTTCTTCTTCTCTTTCGCGTCGGGCCTTAACTTTGGATTTCAAGTTCTTAAGTTATAATCTCATGTTCAAAACATTAGGACAGACGGTCCTTAACTTTGAATTTCAAGTCCTTACGTTATAATCCCATGTTCAAAACATTAGGACTGTCGGTCCTTAACTTTGAATTTCAAGTCCTGTCGGGCCTTAACTTTGAATTTCAAGTCCTTAACTTATAGTTTCAAGTTCAAAAGTTAAGGATATGTAGTCCTGAAGTCCCGAAGTTAAGGACATGAGCGTAAGGGTATTTTCGTCCGGTCGGGTATAAGTTTATTAAAGGAGTGGCTAAAGTCTAAATACATTGAAAACGATGGCTTTAAAATAAAAGTCACCGCTTTTAGTGGCTATTTGCGCACTTCGCCCTTAAAAGGAGAGGATAAAGCCTTCTCTCTAAGTCAATTGGCAGCCTAAAAAAAAGTCACATAGCATAATTAGTTATTTAGTTAATAATTAGATATTATTTTTGAATTTAAATATTTATAAAAAATGAAAATAATAAAAAATAAAAAACTACTA